ACATGAGGAAAAATCAACACAGGCTCAATACAATCTATGGCACCTTTAAAGTGTGTGGTATGTTCAAACAACACACCACCTGACACCACGAGTACTCAGAGCTTTGATTTGATTAATCATTTAATTGTCTTTGAAAGGAAATGTGAACAAATAATCTCACTGATTTGGTCAAAACTAATGCTATAAAGGTTAATTTAATTGTAAGAACATAGCAGTGCTACTACTTAAACCCCTACCCTCAATTCATCACACAATGTGTATTCATGTTTTGTTTTGTTTCTTCATTTCCATGGGGCGCATTGGAATAATGTTCAAGTCAGAGAACAACACTGCACATGAATTTAAGCTGAAGGATACCACTGTCCTAAGATAGAGGAGATGGAGGGGAAATGTAACCAAGGTAACTGACAAAGCACCTGATCAAGGCTTTGCCATCAGCCACACACACAAAAAAATGAGAATAACAATAAACAACCTCTTCTAAAAAAAAAAAACAAGTAAATAAATCAAAATCATGGGAAGGCATGCTCCAGTAGACATCCAAATGTTTATCAGAGAGATTAATTTATGCACAAAGCAACTTTGCAAAGCGTAATAAACATGATCTGAGGTCAGATAGGATTGGAAGAAGAGCCTGAAAGGATGTTTGTGAGTCAATGCCACATATTTTACACATATTTTTCTGTCCCTCAAGCCGTCGTGTAATTTTAATGTAATTATGGTCTATTTGTTAAATCATTCTTTCATTTCTTACGTAAGACTGTAGGTTTCAGGAAGGATGCTGTCTGAGACTGTAATTCAGATGAACACAATGGAGATATACTGTCTATTGGTTACCAGAGAGACGAAAGATATGATTGTATGACTTCAGCAAATGGACAGACCCTCGTATCATGTTCGAATTCAAAGCATGTCCCTAATTGAATTCAAGAAAAAAAAGACTACGATAATTAATTAAAATTATTTGCTTAATTAAAAAAAAATCTTTTTTTAATCTGTATGCATAATGTATAGTCAAGTATTTGAGTAAATCATGCTTAGACTGTTAACTATTAGATTTCTTTTTGCATAAAATACTAGAACAGGTGCCATGCTTATTAGTTTTAGTCAACACGTTAATGTTTTATTTTCAAAAGAGTTATGAATTTAATAGTTAGAATAACCATATTTTTTCCCATGACATCAAATGACCAATTATGATGTTCTGGACAGAAAAAAAAAAAAACTGAAAGACAATGTTTCTATTTGAAATTAGAAACTGTTATCAGAGTTTTACAGTTAGTTAGTAAGTAAGCAAGTAGGTAAGTAAGTAAGTAGGTAAGTAGGGAGGCAACTAAGTAGGTATGTAGGCAGGTAAGTAAGTAGATAGGTAAGTAAGTAGGCAGGTAAGTAAGTAGGTAATTAAGGTAAGTAAGTAAGTAGGTAATTAAGTAGGTAAGTAAGTAAGTAGGTAAGTAGGCAGGCAACCAAGTAGGTGTGTAGGCAGGTAAATAAGTAGATAGTTAAATCAGGTAAGTAAGTAAATAGGTAATTAAGTAGGTAGGTGGGTAAGTCAGGTAAGTAAGTAGGCAGGTAAATAAGTAGGTAATTAAGTAGGTAGGTAAATCAGGTAAGTAAGTAAGTAGGTAATTATAGGTAAGTAAGTAGGTAGGTAGGTAAGTCAGGTAAGTAAGTAGGGAGGCAACCAAGTAGGTATGTAAGCAGGTAAGTAAGTAGATAGGTAAGTCAGGTAAAGTAAGTAGGCAGGTAAGTAAGTAGATAGGTAAGGCAGGTAAGTAGTAAGTAGGTAATTAAGTAGGTAACTAAGTAAGTAGGTAGGTAGGTAAGTCAGGTAAGTAAGTAGGCAGGTAAATAAGTAGGTAATTAAGTAGGTAAGTAAGTAGGAAGGTAAGTAAGTAGATAGGTAAGTCAGGTAAGTAAGTAGGCAGGTAAGTAGTAAGTAGGTAATTAAGTAGGTAAGTCAGGTAAGTAAGTAAGCAGGTAAATAAGTAGGTAATTAAGTAGGTAAGTAAGTTGGTAGGTAGGTAAGTCAGGTAAGTAAGTAGGCAGGTAAGTAAGTAAGTAGGTAATTAAGTAGGTAAGTTAGTAGGTAGGTAGGTAAGTAGGCATGTAAGTAGGTAATTAAGAAAGTAATAAGTAAGTAGGTAAGTAATTATGTACACTGAAAAAGATTATTTAAAGATGATTCCTTGGATTTACTCTTTTTTTTTCCTTAAGTGGTTTTTTTTTAACAATTTAATTTTGTTGAATATAAACACACAAATTAAGTTGAACATTATTCAATTTAATTTGTTTAAATTCAACACAAATAAATGGTTTGCAACACTTTTTTCACTTTTTTTATTCAAAGTTCTAGGGGTAATTTCCATTCTAGGGGGTCATTTCTGTGGTTGTAAACGAGCATATAATACCATTTCTGAAGATTTTTAAAAACCCCTTCCTAATAAATTCAGGAGATGCGAAGAAAGTGAGAATTCTCATAATTGTTTTCCAATATCTGCATACTTAAAACTGACCGTACATCAAAATCCTGCTGTCATGTTAAAAGACATGGCTAGATTATGTTACATATAGATTAAAGACACATCTCTTTCAGTCAAGCTTACATCAAATGCATCTCATAAGCATGTGCTCCAGCACATCACATTAAATATACCCCATTAAATTCACATCAATCTCCCTTGCTTATAGTTATTCTGAACAGCAGCTACACAGATGTTTCTTCAATTAGCTTTCTGAATCTTTTGTGAAGCTGCTTTTAGACAAAAAAATGATTGTGAAAAGTGCTAAACAAGACTGAACAGCCACGTTCATACACTATAAAAGTCTTGTCTACTATCCAAGTTTTAGGAACAACAAATAATAACTTGAGTTGATCATTTGGCATCAGAAGTGTCCTATATGAAAGGAAAAGGCCTCTAAATTTCACTTATTTTACCAAAATAAAACTGATCATGCCCTGATTTTAAAGTGTTTAATTAGGACAGTAAGGTCTGACTTTGCTCAGACAAAAGTCTTGTCATGTCCAGTATAGAATATAAAGTCCTGCTGCAGAGTAAACAGAATGAATATTGTGTCTGACTCCATCATGAGCTTGGAGGACTGCATCCATACATCTTTGACACGACTCACATCACTGATTAATAAAGTCATCTGGAATGCCAAAGAAATTCCCAGAGTTCATCAAGATCATTCAGCGCCTCCTCCATCATCTTACCTCAGACATGCTCAATAATGTTCATGTCTGGTGACTGGGCTGGTCAATCCTGGAGCACTCTTTGCTTTCAGGAGCTTTGATGTGGAGGCTGGAGTATGAGAAGGAGCGCTATCCTGCTGGAGAATTGTCCCTCTCCTGTGGTTTGTAATGTAATGGGCAGCACCAACACGTTCTCACTCCCAACTCGTCACATACTGACGCTTGGTCAGGAACCCTCGGCGTAAGTTATTGACGAACAGGGTACCCCTTTAGCGTCATATTTAGACGTGCAGGGATTCCCTATAGAATCTGTGCCTGAGCCTGAGGCGTCATAGGGAGACGCTGGAGGCTCGTATAATTACCAATAGATGTCAACGCAATTTTTAAAACCTGATTTACGCCTATTATCTTAGTTTTCTTATTTTAAAATATGTAATTTTTATTTTGTTCATGAAAAGCGTCTGTAAACTGGGTCGAAACTACTGTATGAATAAACTTCGGTCCACGTGACATCCCTTCACGGTGAGTTTAACGCCGCTCTGCTATTGGTCAAACTGCATCAGCGGTGAGTTCACAGATGAGTTCAACTGTCAACATTAAATAGTATGTTAATGCTTCATAATGTATTTTTATTGGAGATTAGTTGGTGTTTATAAATATGTGATCATTTACTTTATATTTAATGAGTGAAATTATATTCGGTTGCCCAGTTTAGAGTAACTATGCCTAATAAAACTTTGATTCATTCATATTATTTATTGTTTTTTTACTTTAAAAAATATTGCATTTCAAGTACTAAGTTTAAAAATGTTTTTGGCTGATATTTTTTATTTTAAATGATTCATTGAAGTTGGGGTCATTGTATGTGGCGATCTATTTTTTACAGATCTATGCTCGCTATCCCAAGGTTCATTGCGATCCCATGGTTCACTGCGTTTTCCACAAGGTAAGTAAAAAGTAAACAAATAAAGACGATTTGTTGATAAAGCATGTACTATAAACTAGCGACGTTAACTAATTACATCAAGTTATTAAAAATATATTTTTCTCACATAAAACGTTGGTCATGCATTAGAACAATATATACATTTTAAGATAAGGAACAGTGTAACCAGATTGTTGTTTCCACTATAGAATTCGTGCAAAATCTATATATAATATGCAATATGCAACTCTAATAATACAAATGTATTCGTTATTGTTTCAATATTAAAGAACAATAAGTGTTTCCAAAGGTTTAAAGGCTACATTGTTAAAACAATTATTTTCCATGCCTTAAAACACACACACACACACACACACACACACACACACACACACACACACACACACACACACACACACACACACACACATATATATATATATATATATATATATATATAGCATAACAAAAGCTCAAGTATAACTTAAGCTGATGTATGTCACACAATGAATATCTTACACTATTACCAGTGTAGTTTGGCCTTTACCAATTTATTTAATAAAAGAAAGAATCTATCATCTCTAAATTGTGGTAAAGAGGCACAACAAGCTGTCTTCTTTGTCCAATATCATGTCAGTCAGGATGGTAATGGTAAAACTCAAGGATTACCTTGCACCTTCTCAGAAATTTACCATTGATCAAATGTATTACAAGTGGCTGGATTGTTTTTAACACAAGCAACGTTTTTTTAAAATCATTATCTTAAAGAGATTAAGGCTCATTTTGGACTACACTTACATTACTTTACAACTGCTTAATGCAGTACTGATGTATCTAGTAGTTTAGTGGGTTTAACAAATGTCACATCTGTTTTTATTCATTTCAGATGCAGAAACTTTTGACATGAATTCATCTTGACTAAGGGTAAGGTTTTTGTTCAGAATTAATCATTATTTAAAATCATTGTATTTTCTTTGTTATTATGTACAGATTTTAAAAGAATGTACTTTCTTTTAATAAAGAACTCTTCACAGCACTTCATCTGAACAGTCACAACCTCACAGAGCTGCACAACTGCCCCACTCAGATCAGTGTTGAAGCTGGAACCTCATCTTGTGTACAGCAAAGGCAGAGCTGAAAATTCACTGTTTGTCTTGTATTGTGTGGTAAGTCATAATTTTATTATTATTTTTTTTTATTGCAACACTAAGTAGTCCATTCTGTGGCCAATATGATATAAAAGGCCTAAAATGGGACTGACGTGATTATTGTTTTGATTTCTAGATAAGTACTTATGGGGCTACACATGCAGCTGAAGTTAGCTACATTGAGTAGGACATTTCTTTTAGTATACTCTTAAGGAGATTCACCCAAAAAGGAAAATTCTGTCATTAATGACTCATACTTGTTCCAAATATGTCTGAGTTGCTTTCTTCAGTTAAATACAAAAAATTATATTTTAAAGAAAGATGAAAACCTGCAAACACTGACTTCCATAGTATTTGTTTTTTCCTACTATGTATGTCAATGTTTTCAGCTTTTCAGCTTTCTTCAAAAAACTTCCTTCATGTTCAACACAAAGTAACTTGGAAGTTTTTAAAAAAGGTTTACAACCACTTGAGGGAGAGTAAATAGTGAACTATTCCTTTAACCCAATCTAGTTGACTTTACTAGAAAATTGTATAGAAACCCAGTGCCTTAAACCCCTTACATTTTATACAATGTGCCACTTAACAGCCATACTTGAATTAAAATATTACTGTAAGTTCAAGAAGATTGTAAAGGTTATTGGTTAATTTAAAGTGGGCTGTTTAGTTTCACCTTGTGTAAAAACATAAAGGGTTTAAGGCAACATGTTTCTTTGCAGTTTTCTAATAAAGTCAACTAGTTTAGGTTAAGAGTGTAATGGGTTACAGTAATAGCAGTGAATCATGCAGGCATAAAATAAATGTTTAGCCATGTAAAGTAATAAGCTTGTTATAATTTAGAAATATTTTTAGGGTGGAGCACAGTATGCTGTTGTAGTTTTCATATAATTGATGAATCAAACATGAGATGTGTGTTTTAAATTGCAAGAAGTGAATTAACAATATGTTCATCAAGATTCTAATCTTGCATCTTATATTTTCTTAAGGTTTTGGCCCAATAATACCCATATTCTGCTATTTAAAAAAAACTTGCTGGAATTTGTGTCAGCGTTCCCTTCAATGAAAACTACAGCAGTGGACATCAGTGGTGATAAAAATGTATGCGAAGGATAATGGTGTTCATAATGAAAAGAGCAGTCACTATCCTGATCTCTGAGTTTGTAGAACTGACAGATCTGCTTGGAATACATGGAAACATGCTGGAAATGTTTAACCTATTATACAGTTAATTCAAGAGTGCCAGGTTTAATGACACTTTACATATATAAATAAATATCACTGAACTTTCTAAATGAAACGCTCATTCTTTGTTCAGTAATGATATTGTGCACTTCTAATACTTTACAGTGGCAAAACCTGGAATAACACTTGGGAGCCCTCCAGGAATTCCTGACACTTTACGCCCAAGTCTCCTCATGCTAACCGGATTGCAATATGACAGTCTAGTCAGCATAAACACCTGGACTGACCAAGCACACTTTAGTTCTCAGTGTTTTGTAAAAATAGTTATTGCTATTCTTCAGTAAATACTTGAATATGTTTTGAACTTATTCTACTTTTGATGTTTAGTTCAGAAAGTTGTTATTATAAACATAATTTGCATTTGTCATGAAATTGACTTCTTGTTGTTGTGAAAGCTGTTTATTATAATGGCATTTCCAAAGCCATCGTTTGAAAATATTTTTTGCAGTGCAGTTTTACTTGAGCTTGACATACCAGATGTATGACATGAATAAATATCACAAAATAAATATAATAATAATAATACAAAATATACATTTCCTTCAATTATAATTGTTTTTAATCATTTATATATGTATGGTAATATATTATTGCATTAAAAACTGTTATAAAATATATGTTTTTGTTTTTTGCATGTTTGCGTGATTTTTATTTTTTTTTTGTGGCATTATTAATAAATTATAAATGTTTCATTAAAAATGTATTGTGTTTATTTGCATACTCATTTACAATGAACTACTATTTATACTATGTAATGGGCACTATATTTGTCATTAAAGTTTGACATATATTTATATTTGTATACCTGGAGGATGCAGGGTTTAGTTACATGAAATGCTGGAAATGTTTTCAAACATGAAGCTTTTTTATTATTTTATTATTCGTTTCAAATTAAGTAAACTGCCTATGATCTGGTTTTACTATGATAATTTTGCACATCAGGTTACCCCCACAAAGGAATCTCACACGGTAAATATACATTTGTATTTTTAATAAGACAATAAATACCATGTAATATTAATACACATTTTGATATTTAGGTTATATTATAAGGTTATATTAATCTACCTTCAGCCGGAAGATTACCAAATAGAGACAAAGTGTGACGTAGATTGCGACGTTGTGATTGGACTATAACTTCAAAGCCAAATTAAAAGATCATTCGTGTTGCTAACTATGTTTTGCTAACTTTGCCACTTTACTAACAGTGTCCTTTATCAATGAGTTATCGCTGTGTTTCAAATAGTTACCGATTAACCAAGATCGTAACCCTAAACTTAACCCTAACTACACCTTTCAATGAACTACAATTTGTAGCGCCATGTCTTTCCCGTCCCATCTATACAGCGACAAAGGATTGTGGGTAATGTAGTTTAAAGCCTTTTTGTAATAAAATGGAACAAATACAATTTTTTATGAACTAAAGACTATCTGAATAAGGTCATTGTGCATATATTTATGACATATATGAAAGCCAGGCATAAATTTGTTATTTTACAATGAGTATTTTTTTAAACAGCTTTTATTGACTTGATCAGTATATAGCAGACTATTATATCCAACATTATTTATTGAACATAGCATAGGTAATAGTCTTGCTGATATTCTCTCACTCATTTTTCGTTTGAAATGTGAATACTTTTTCCTTTTCTACAGGGCTCTACTCATCCCCTTTGAGTAAAAGGGCAGTTAACCTGTGTAGATGTATAATATTCAACATGGACAAGAAATTGTATTGTCACATGTACAGTTGTGGTAAAAAAAAAAAAAAAAAAAAAAAAGCTGTAAAAATAAGCTAAACATTAGTATCTTCTTTAATCACAAGTTATTTGCAATAGTGATCTATGTTCATCACAAATATTATGAGTTCAGTTTAATATGTGTGGATGTTATTCTGTAATTGTGTTTCATTAATGGTCATCATGTGATATTTAATTGTTTTCACTTTATTTAAAATGTGGATAAAAGCTCTTTTAAAATATGTAAATGTTTATAAATATAACCTTTTTAAAGACATGTATTTGTTTAAAAACCACTCTTTATCTGATTATTTTTACTTTCTAAATCTTCAACTGTTTGTGTAACAGTATGTTTTGATGACAATGGATGAACTTGTGTTTAATTATGATTCCACATAATGTCTTTGTCCTGCATGTGGGTTAATTTGTTAAATAGTTAAATGAATAGTTCAAACCTCCAAATGATTAAAAATACATAGCCAATAACCAACAAAATAAAAATGCAAACCTTTAAATTATCTAAACTAGAAGTAAAAAAGTTCTGTGCTGTACTTATAAGTTACTGTGAAGTTCTATGTCTACAAAAAATACATATTTTATTTTACTTTTTGGCTTAGTCCCTTTATTAACCAGGGGTCGCCACAGCTCTATGAACCGCCAACTTTTCCAGCATGTCTTTATGCAGCAGATGCTCTTCTAGCCGCAACCCATCTCTTGGAAAATATTTTATTTTTTATCTTGCATTCAATAAAACATTATACAAAGTTAATTTTTATTTTCTGCATAACAACAGTGGCACTGTTATCTCACAAGTACAGCAGTTTTTTGTTAGACATTCTAACAAATTAATACAAATGTTTCAAAGTAAAGACAAAAATAAAAGGAGATTATTATTATTATTTTTTTTTTTAATCAATGAGGACCAAATAGATCCATCAGATCTTTGATGTAAATCATAGGTTAATTTTTTCAGAGGTAGAAGTCTGGTTGCCTGACTCAGCCACATATTGACTGGAGGTATCTGAGCAGTTGACCATAATAATGTACATTTTTTGGCCAAGTATATGCAAAAATAAAATTTATCATGAAAATGTATCATAAAATTAATATTTTAAAAGCTCTTAATGTCATTTAATGTAATAATTTTATTTTAATATAGAGTTCCTTAAATCGTTATATGTTGTAAGCAGTTAGGCATACAATAATGCTCTTAATTTACAACACTGATTGATTTTAGAGGAATGCTTACATACTGTACATATCTATGTATTTAAAAAAAGAGACAACAATTTGGTTATAGATGATGAAAATTTTATTTCATTTTTTTACAGATTTTATTACATGCTTTAGATTCAGGGTTAAGGTCATCCTCTTCTGGATTTCAGTGAAAGAAAATCCACAGTCAATGTCATACTCATCAGCTGGAGCTTTATTTAAAAAATGTCTGTTTACTGCTCCAGCCAAAACTTGCAGGTACCTTGCAGGTCTCTAGATTGCACCATCATATTGTTGTTTATTTCTCAGTTATTTTGTTGCTTTCTGAGAATGATGATCCATTGACCTTTTAACCCCTCTTTGTTAGGCCACATGTCGAATCTTAAAAGAAGAACACAACAACATTAAAATATATTAATATCATTTGGACTGGGTAACCTTATGCTTAAGTTTGAGCCAAATAATACAAATACATACCAGTACTTTTCAGTAGCAAACAAGCAGGAAAGTTCTTTGAAGGAACCAGGATGAGTTGAAAGGTATTTATAGTGGTTGGCCATCTCTGCCACAAGAATCCACTGCTCCTGAAGAATCCTGACTAGCAGGATGATGTTGAACACCCTCCTCTTTGTTGCTGGGTCAGCAGAGTCTGAAATATATTCATAAAAAGAAAGTTGTATAACAAGGATTATACGTAAACTTAACACTGACAGAAGTCTAGTGTACATACCATGCCATATGACAAAGACATCCATATCACTTCTGTTTTTTGTTGTCTTTGCTTCTGCTACTGAAAAAATGACAGTAATAGTAACACAATTTTTCATGACTACATGTAATATTAATAAGAATTTCCTCACCCTCTGCCCACTCCTCTACATCACAGACCAAAGTCTTCCAATTGGTTTCCGGTCACTGCCAGTTTCATGGATTCTGTTTTGCAACTTGCTTTGCAGAGCTGCTGCGGTCTACAGTGATAAGCAATCAAAAAACACAATACTATTTAAATAGGTTACAGAACAACTAAAACAAATTCTACTGGATATCGTTACCTTCTGATATCAATAGGTCAGCGAGATGGCCAAATTGTTGAATATCTGCTAATTCCAGCACATGACCATGAGAGTTACAGTAGCATGTCTGGTCACTGCAATCCTAGAGAAGAAACACTGCATTGTTCAACCTCCTTCCCAAGAGTAAAACCAGGCATATCCTGGTATGCCTCACTCCATTTCACCCGGTTAACATATACAAAAAAACAAACAAACAAATAAGTAAACCAATAAGTTTTGGCATTTACCTGTAGATCAGTTTAAGATAATCATATAGCTCATCTATCTCAGATATAAACTCATGTGCTTAGGCATGAAACACACTAAAATCATGGGCTTAAAGATGGTGCTGAAACTTTGGACAGCTTTTTGCAACTCTTTTGGAGGTAGTGTCATTAGTTGATGTAGTCCACAAATCTTCCTGTCAATCCTTAATCCTTAGCTGTAAATAAACCTTCAAAAATGCCAGTGTTTGAAAAAGGAATGAAACAGTACAGAACAAGTGCATAACAGTTTATATCTTCTAATCTAATTTTACTAGGTGAACATCAAAGAGCTGTTTTCTTGTTAATTTAGTTTCAACACATACAGTTTAAAGTACCTTGTGCATTCTTGAAATGGTTATGCTTATGGTTCACTTATGGTTCACGTTCACATGCTTATGGACTCCCACTCAAGAATATCTCAGAAAAATGTCTGCTGAGATCTTAGCAGTCCATTTAAAATAATTATACCAACATCTTTTCCACTAATGGAAAGAATATAAAAATATTTTAGGATATATTAATACTTGCATGACCAAATCTGAGATAAAAAAGGCCATCAGTATGCCTTAGTTTAAATAAAAACAAAATTTGACTCTAGCCCACTGTCACCTGGGTCTACAGATACAGGGACTAATGGAAACAATGAAGTACACACTGACAGTCACTGGAGCAAGGCTCTCTCACAATTGGGAAGATTGGAGTTCCTATGAGCTGTACCTGATAAAAACAACAAAAATGTACATTTATAACATTTCTAACTTATCCTAAGACTAGTTGACAAGCAGCATAAGCAGTTCTAATTTCCTAAACCCCAATGTGGACAGTTGATGGCCTATAAGGTGTCATAAAATCAGACAAAACAAAATACTTTCTGAAAAAGAAAAAAATGGTTGGCCACTATCAACACCCAGAGCAAATAGTTTTAAACAGTTCGGCCACAATATTTTGTGAGCTTATGCTGTAGTTTTTTAATGTTTGTCATAAACAATAGTAATAGTAAACTAATATGTCTCATTCTGTTACTACAATAGTAGTGAAAGAATAAATGCATTTTATCTCATACAATCATATATGCCTAAACAATGTAGATATTTAATATACATGGAATGAAAAACTTCACTAACCCTTGACTGATTCCAGAGTGGTCTTGGCCTTCCTTACATGGTGGTGCTTCCTGCAGATCATCAAGTTGTCATCAAGACTTAAGCTTATAATTGAGATCTTG